AATTAAATAGCGCATAATATATCTGAAGTTTCACTTTGAGCGGCAAAATGTTCCGGCAACGAGACATCACTCCTGTTACCGAAGAAAGCTTTTTACAAACAAAATTTACATGTGTATCCCAGCCTAGATTGGAAGAAAAATAAACTCCGAGTATTTTGTAGCTATCAACAATATCAATCGGCACTGATTCAAGAACTAAAGGTTGATGGGTAGCGAGTACTTTATTTTTGGCACGAAAAACAATGGCTTTGGTTTTATTTGGATTAATTTTAAGCTGGTTCATTCTGGACCATGACGAAATTCTTGAAAGTATATCATTTGCTTTGCTTACAATGTCATCTAAGTTAACGCCATCAAGGATTATTGTTGAATCGTCCGCATATATGACGTATTTAACTGTTGTGTCCAGTTGAACAATGTCATTAATGTAAACATTGAACATCAGCGGACCAAGTATACTGCCTTGCGGCACACCACGAGTGAGGGGCAAGAATGACGAGCTATTTTCATTAATGTAAACACTTTGGCACCTATTGCTAAGATATGATCGAATTAAAGATTTGGCAACACCCCGAATGCCATTTGATTCTAATTTGTCTAACAATATATTATGATGAAGCGAGTCAAATGCCTTACTGAAATCTAGAAATATGCTGAGTGTGAATTTATTTTGTTCAAAGTTATGAAGTATAGCTTCCTTTAATGTCAACAATGCAGTTTCAGTGGACTTGCCGCTTATAAAGCCAAACTGCGCATCTGTTAACACATTGTGTTTATTAAAAAAATTCGTTATGCGGACATGAATAATTTTTTCTAAACATTTAGAGAAGACAGGAAGGACCGATATAGGCCTGTAGTTACTTTCACTGCTGCGGTCACCACCCTTAAAAATGACTGATACACGAGCTTTCTTCATGGCTTCTGGAAAAACACCATGTTCAAGAACTAAGTTATATATATAGGTTAGTACACTACTAAGTAAATATAAAACGTGTTTTATTGGTGTGATCTGCAGGTCATCGGCATCAAGAGATTTAGTACTATTTAGATGCTTGAAGATTTCGCATACTTCACTTTCGTTTGTTGGGTCAAGAAAGATACTTTGGCTCACGTTACTGCATCCGGCGACAAAATCCGCGTTATCATTGCACAACGCTACTGCATTTATGAAGTAGTTATTAAAATGATCTGCGAGTGCTGCACCTCTAAAATCTTTACCCCCGAAGGTTATAGACTCAGGCAAAGCATTTTTATTATCACGACCGAGTATGGTATTAATTAGCTTCCACGTAGCACTTGAACGTTGCCGATTGGCATGTACAAAGATACGCTGATAGTAGGCTTTCTTGGCACGTTGAAGTTCAGCGTTTAATCTATTGCGAAGCTTTTTAAATTCTTTCAAAGTTTCAGCAGAGCGCGTACGTAGAAAAGTGTGATAGCAGATGTTTTTACGCTTTATCATACTCAAATGCTCGCGAGTGACCCAGGGTTTCCTAGCCTTTCTTGCAGATTTTAATGTTTTGAATGGAAAATGTTTTGCGTAAATGCGTCGAAAAGTTTGGATGAATGCATCATATGCGTTATCGGCATTTTTCTCCTTAAATACAGATGACCAGTTTTGTTTGGATATATCGAGCGTAAAAGCTTCAAGACTTCGAGATGTGATATGCTGTATGGTAGGCAGCACCCGCCGCGTCCCTTTATCAAGAGGTTTGCAAAAATAGCTCATAAACACGGGACAGTGGTCACTAATATCAGATGTTATTGTGCCTGCGCTATAAATTACTGTGTCAATATTGGTAATGACAAGATCCAGTGCTGATGAAGTGGAGCATGTAATTCGTGTTGGCGTATTAATTAGATTTTTAAAACCACTCGAGAGCAAAAGGTTATTTAGCTCGCGGGTGACACAGTTTTCCTCCAGTAGGTTAATATTAAAATCTCCTGCAGAAATAAGGAGGAAATTATTACAACAAGCATACTCCAAGAAGTTCTCGTAAAATTGCATGAAACTTGCCATGCTTCCATTTGGCGGTCGGTAGATTACCGAGATAAGCTCATCTTTAAACTGGACTGTAAGTATTTCATATTCATCTGTTATCTTACTGAATTCAGGGACGATGTGGCAACTCTTTTTTGTCGTAACAAGCAAAGCAACCCCTCCCCCTCGCTTATGCGTCCGATTAAGATAGAATGTATTGTAGCCATCCAGAGTAAAAGTTGGTTCATCATTTGTACCCCAAGTTTCAGTCATCATAATGAGGTCAAATTTTAATTGGAATTGCTCTAAAAAGAGTGCAACGTCGTCCCTTTTATGGTTAAGTGACCTCGTGTTAATATGCAGAACTGAGTTGCCTGTTTGATTGTGTAAGCAGATATCGCGAGGAAAAGCAAGCTCTAGGTAATCCATAGCGAATAAATGCTATTTCAAAGTTTCAAGCAAGCACATCAACTGACATTATGCAGACACAGAACTATTTTGCCCTCCAAAAATCCTGTCGATATCACGCTCGCTGGGTATGTGTACAGCAGGTGTTTCGTCAGTCTGTTTAGCGTATATCTTCCCGTTGTAAGACCATACAGATTTCCATTTCATTTCGTACTTCTTTTTTACAGCGGTCGCGAGCAGTTTTTTCAACGTCGGGCAGAGATGTTCATTCACATACACAGGCGGTGAAAAGGAAGTTGAGTTGCCAATGCCCAAATCAGCATTTGTAAGGCGCGCTTTTTTTGCCTTCTTTAGCACCCTGTCCCGTTTGACGCGGGACTTAAATTGAACAACGATGGTTATGACAAGCCCAGATAATGTGTTTCAGGGCCACCCGCTGATTGCACAGTTTACAGTTGTCGAAGTAGAGATCTGGGTAGCAATGACTGTAACAAATTGGGTTTGGGAAGGTGCTTGTTTGTGATAGGCTCCATGCTATCACCTGTTGTTTACTAATTGAGAAATGTGGTAGAGGGCAAGCAGGTTGCAAAAAAATTAAACCTCCTTGTCAGTGGGTATTGCTGCCCCCCCCCCCCCAAGCGGTATTGTTTGGTGATTACGTTGTATGTGACCAAGCGCTTTCCCCCCACACGTAGTCTTCGCGTCATCCCTGCACCTGCTCGGCTCACTAACTCTCGAGCTAGGGTGTGCGCAGCTCTGTTGCCCGGCAAGGAAGAGTGAGTGGGCGTCCATAACACATAGACGTCACGTTCTGTGTGAAAGTTAATCAAAATGTTTTTCGCCTCTTTTGATATCCTACCATGAGCATAATTATTAGTTGTGGTTTTAGAGTCACCTATTATAACGCTGGCTATTTTACATGCAAGCGCGAGCGCTATGGCCACTTCCTCAGTGATTTCAGACTCTCCTCATTTAATGAAACTGCTGGAAAGCAGGTGAGCTGCTTGATTTGAAACGGCCAATGCCATGTGTTCCAAACACCTAGCATTTCAAAGCAGAGACGTGGGAGACCACGCTGCTTAGCTCCGACATCCAGGGCGAGTTATCAGACAAGCCGAAGATGCCGCTAGGTTGCTAGAACTTTTAGCTGCCATCTAAAGGAGAAGATACAATTTCTCTGAAGCTTGAAGTTTCGACTAAAGTTCTTTTTCTCTCGTAATAAAACTGCGGCATAGATACATGTTTCATAATCGTGAATGATAGGAGCCTATATTTCATCGAAAATGTCTGTCTGCGCACCTTGTTTACCTTTTTCTCTCTCACATCCCGGCTGCGGCGGCTGCATTTCCGATGGAGGCGGAAATGTCGAGGCCCGTGTGCTCAGATTTGGGTGCACGTTAAAGAACCCCAGGTGTTCAAAATTTCCGGAGCCCTCCACTACGGCGTCTCTCATAATTATATGGTGGTTTTGGGACGTTAAACCCCACAAATCAATCAATCAATACCTTTTTCTCTCATTCCATCTATACTTCCTTAATTTCAGCATACCCGTATAATGTTTCTCAAAGTAGGGCTATGTATCGACTTTCGTCTTCTGGTTAGCTACCTTTCTTTTTCATTCTTTCTCTGTCTCTTTCGTGTCCAAATGCCTTCATTGCGCAGCACTATTTATCAAACGTTAAAGCATTGCCACTGCACAAAATTGATTGCCCCCGACAAGATTTGTCTTTCACCGCGTAAGAGAACGCGATAATAGTAGGCGACACACGCACCACACAAATATCATTGCCGAGAACTATCTGGTTGCGCCAATAGTTAATATCCGGGACCTTAGGCGTCAAATTCACGATATGAACGTGATTCATGAGGCGCACCGTAGCGGAGGCTTCCGGAGATCCCGACCATCCGGTGTTCTTTAGCGTGCGCTCGTCCGCACAGCGCATGGGCCTCTACAATTTCTCTGCCGTTGAAATGCGATCACATCTTCCACGATCGAGCCCGGCATCTACAGATCCGAAGTCTAGCTCTATGACAACTGGGCTAGCTCGGCGAATGGCTCGTTTGAGAAGTCAACCGGAATTTAATACACTTCATTTCTTTTCAAGCATTTTACACTTCTCATATGTGGTATTTAAAACCAGTTGTCATTGAAGCAAGTGAACTATGTATGTATATATGATGTCACGTAGTTGCTGACCTTGTTCCGCTAAAGTCAATAATCGATAAAACAGGAAAGCACACAAGGTACAACTACAAAAACTGTGTTGTTTGCAGGCTTTAATTGAACCTTGTCTTACACCTAGAGCTCTTTCTTTGCAGGCTACTCTGAACCGACGTCTCATTTGTCGAACCTGTACGTAATTTGCTTTACCATTCCTTAGTCCTTTTTTTCTTTTGTGCACCTCTCACCTTCTCGTCCCGGAGTCTTCGTGCCTTCACTCACGCGAGCAGTCACATACGGACCTTTGCAATCGTCATAGTGACATGACAGAGACTCCTCAATTTCTTCATTCAGCTGTCCCTGCTATGTAGTACCCGTTGAGCGGATTTACTGTCATTGTTCAAGGACGCCTACGTAGAGAAATCAATGCCAATCTGAAAGTCAACTCACCGTATGGCTGTTCCTTGTTGGCCGGCCCCTGTATCCTAGTTTGCACCAGCACTGCACCCAGCAGAACGCGCACCGCGCAGGACACCAGGGGCGATCCTAGAAGAGAAGTCCGTCTCACCATCGCGTCCAAAGCGCGCGCGGACTGCTCCGCCACGGGCTAACGGGTCCGTCTGCAACCGCGCGCCGCTGTCCCAGCTGGGGATCCCGGCACTGCAGGGAGGAGGATGACGACGTGCCGCAAGCAGCAAGTCGAGTGCGTGCGGTGCGTGGGGCGCGAAGTACGGGCCGCGTGGTGTCCCCCCGGAGCGAGCGCGCGTCGCCCAGCGAAACGTGCTGCAGCGTGCGTGCCGTACCGGGATCGATGCAACGGCCTTAGTGGCAGAGCGCCGGGACCGTGCCGGGCGGCAGGGGACTATCTTTGCGTGCGCGCGCCCTCGCGAGGCGCCCGCTGGAAGGAAGGGTGGGCTTGTCCCAGCGGTGGCCACCGAAGAAGTACAAGAAGAAGAGCGAAGATTCTCTCCCCGGTGCTTGCTTTTCCGGTCCGCTTGACGAGATCCGATTGCGGGGTGGTGGGGGGAGATTTCGATCCGCGCCCGTCTCGACAGCGCGCTTTCTCAAGGTGCTCAAGAGTTGGTCTTCTTCTTCTTCTTCTTCGGCCAGGAGCCCCCGCATCCAGGTCTCGTGCTCCCGCCTGCCCCATGAGGACCGCGAGTGTTTTTACTTCACTCTCTCTCTTTCACGTCTCGCCTGACCCTACGGGACGCCGCTCATCGTTCGCCTTTGTTTGCACTTTCTTTTCTTTAATTTCGGCCGGGCCCTCTGTTGTCTTTGACTGCTAAAAGCATTATTGGGATGTGAGAAGGATTGCTGCTTAGGAACGTCAAACCCGAGTGCAGTTGATCGCGCTCCGATACGGTGCCCACCCTATAAAGGTCAATGGGGGGGACGCCATTTCATCTGAGCATGCACTCATAGAGATGGATCTTAACAGAGCCCTTTTTAACCTACAGGTTTGTTTTAGCCACTACTATTGGCCGCAAGAGGTGAGTCATCAATGATGAACACCCCTTGTGTCCCACCTCCAAACACAATGGTTAAAAGACAACATTAGACAGCTCCAATGTTATTAGCTGTCCCCAGTGAACATCGCAGTCGCTTTATGCTATGCATTCGCATTAGATTGCCTCACCAGCACTTTTTCATTTACTGATTAGTGACTATCTATCAGTCTGGCTGAATTATTTTTATGGTGATTTGCAGAAATCAAGTACAAGCCGTCGCTTTCTTCTGAAGTGCTTCTCGGCCACTTTGTAAAAACAAAGGTGTTTAAATACCCCCATCGTTACTCTCATGAAAAAAAAACAAAAGAAAAGCTTCATTGTACTTTGCGCGACGCAGGGGATTTACGACACCGGAGAAGCGCCAGCACTACATTACGCACGTGCTTTATTTTATGCACTGCTAATACATGAACAGTATAATACATGGATAACAACACCAAACACAGCGCGTGGCGACTGCACAGCTATGTTGCGCAAGCAGACATGCAGTGCAGACATACCTTGGTTATAAGCGTCATTACGACGGCTAACAGCAAATGCTTAGCTGAGTAAAAGCAATGCCAAAAATGGTAGTTTAACCTTTATGTCCGAAATAAGCAGGCAAGGGGCAAGGGCACTAATATTTCACACACGCGCGCGCGCGCGCGCACACACACACACACACACACACACACACACACACACACACACACACACACACACACACACACACACACACACACACACACACACACACACACACGCACACGCACACGCACACGCACACGCACACGCACACACACACACACACACACACACACACACACACACAGGAGCCCTTGCCCTACCAGGAAAATAGGAGCAGGCGAAACTTGCGTGCTTCGCTGGCATACCGATTTTCCTTTTCCTTTCTTTTCTTCTTTCTTTATTTGTTCCTTTCTTCTTTTCTTCCTTCCTTTCTTTCTTTCTGTCGTGTTTTTTCGTTCTTTTTTGCCTTCTTTGTTTATGTCTTCTTGTTTCCTTTTGTTCGTTCACCCTTTCGTTCTCTTTCTTTTTTTCGCATGGCGCAATGCTCTCGGCCTCACTATTTCACTCCTCCAGGACAGCCATCCACGTACATCGCAGCACAGCACTTAATTTGCTACGGGCAACAAGGGCGGTCATGCGTTTATATTCAGACAACAATAAGACCTCGTAACGTTACTGTCAAGTGCCTTCGATAAATGAACCGATTCCCATGCAAGAAATGGCTTATCGTCGACAGGCCCACAATCTGGAGAGCATGTTATTGGAAAACGACGCATACGAGTATGCATATGTCCAACACACCTTCGGTGGCCGCACTTCTTCGCACTCGTCGGCCCGGGGTTTCGTGCGTACAATATTGAAATTGCCGAGTCTTAAAATAGAACAGAACAGAAATAGAACAGAAGTGTTTATTCATAATGTCTATATACTATATATTGGTCGCGGGATTGAATCTCGGCTGTGGCGGCTGCGTTTCCGATGGAGGCGGAAATGTTGTAGGACCGTGTGTTCAGATTTGGGTGCACGTTAAAGAACCCCAGGTGGTCGAAATTTCCGGAGCCCTCCACTACGGCGTCTCTCATATTCATATGGTGGTTTTGCGACGTTAAACCCCACATATCTGTTCTGTTCTGTTCCAACTATTTTGCTTGGCAAGGTTGAGGTGCATATTGCCTCGGCTACTCCATATCACAAAGTTCTGCAGCGAAAAAAAAAGAATAATACAAAACGGAACCCAAAAATGAACAATCCCAAAGAAAAAAACATAATAGCACACGGAACCCCATTCAAATATCATGCCAATATACAGTTTGCTTACAGCAGTTCACACTGTCATAAACTGTTTACACGCAATCATTATATACTATATATTGGCCACACCACAATGTAATGCATGTGGAAAACTGATGAAATCTATCTGGCCAATTATAATTGCCTCTATTGTTCAGGCATAAGTCGCTTTCATTTTAAACTTTTTAGTTCGATTTTCTGGTGTCACACCTCATCTCCGTCTGCGGCTGTGGCGCAGGCGTGGCTGTGGCGCAGTAGATAGCTTGCCGGCATCTTTTGTTTTGGACCAAGAATGTGTGAGTTTGACTCCCACAGAAGGAAATTTTTTTCTTTGTCATCTGATCTTGCATATTTTTGACGTCATTTCGATCACGGAATCACGTCACTCAAATCTTGATGGACGCGGGCATAAAACGCTTTCGTGTTAAAGAGAAATAGCTTTAGGTACTTGGTGCATTATTTTTCTAGGTACTTATAGTTTTAAATGCGGAACATTTATTAGTCGCACCATGTCGCGGACCCGACATTGGTTGTACCATCCCCCCTCCCACTGCGCACGCTCACGTCTCATGCCGCATCTCTCGTCCCGTGCCAACTGTCGCTTCCCTATACCCTCTCTCACCTTTCAAGGCTGAGGCAGGGAACGCCTGCTAGGGAAAAACCGACTACTCGCACTGCATCAATGTTCACTGGCCACCCCGTATATGAAGGTACTGTATCACGCGTTCGGATGTCAGTCAAGGGCGTCTTTACTTGACCTTCGCTTGACTTGACTCTTTGCTTGACTCGAGTAGATGCAATGGAAGCAACAGTACCTTCAACCAGAAGTGGAGCACAATCAACCATCAGTGTCCCGCCACTCGTCGAAGGCAACGCTTCTCCTTCATACAATAAATAAGAATGAAGACGAAACAACAATTAAACATTCACAAACCATACCCATTTACGCAACATTTACGTGACCCCCATCATTTTGCGACGTATTTACTAGAGTTTCCTCCGTGGAAAGATGTCAGTGGCTTTTTTTTTTTTTTTTTGTGATGTGCACTTCTCAGCCCGAATACAACGGGTGCTGCGGAGCTAAAGTAGCGATTACAGGCTAACTTCTACATTGCTAAGTATGTTTCTATGCAAGTAGCATTTTATTGTTTACGGCCCAACGAATTCTGGATGGCCGAACTATCCAACTTCCCTATCCACTTCACTACATCCCCTATCCACCGCGCTAGCATCCATTCCCGGCACGCCGACGGAAAGTAATGAAAAGCATTGAAAATCAGGCCTGTAGCGCCACACACGTCTCGCTTTTTCTTTACTTTTTGTTTGTGTGTCACTGCATTTCAAGGTCTGTTCAAATATGAAGCATCACTGGTATCTGTTTGCTCTGCTACTTGGCCATGAAAGTGTCAGTGATAAGGGCAGGCCTATTCTTTGAAAGGCACCCGTAATACTACCCACGGTTAGTGTGTATTCAGGTCAAGAAAATGAAGAGTCCTGAGCGATGAACCAGAGATAAGCAGCTCGCTATCCCAATGTGACTGTTTGAGTGTGCTGCCGTTAAGTACGCAGTCGCATCATTACTTTTTTTTATCATTATTTTAAACAGCTCTTAAACAACACCTGAAAATGCAAAGAAAGAGCGTTTTACTATCTCTTGGCATTCCCCGTCTTTTCGACGTAATTTGAGATGCAAAAGATATGTTCACGTGACGTCACGATAAAAAAAAATGTTCTCGATTGTTCCATGCGTCAGAAATATCACCTAATATTTGTCTCCTGCCTTGCCTTGCCACGCAGTAACACGCTCATTCTGCCTCGTGTCACATGACAACCGTGCGAAATCAACCAATTTCTCTTCGGTTCATGTGTTTCTAACTACTTAATCGAAAATAACAGCGTGCAGCAACAGGCGTGAAATCGATATAGGCTCACGTGTTTTATGAAGGACTAGGGTAAGAGGAGAAGACAGTACTTATAGGAAGAGCAACGAAGGCGAGAAAGAAACCACTTTTTTGCCTTTGAACTCGGAGTGGTTTTGGGACCCTTCAAAAGCGGAGTGCTTTAGGGGGTTGGGCAGTCCATACAGTTTCCTAAATATGCACTAAATATGCAAGCAAGAATTTCTACGAAACGACCTCTTTAGTGCTATGGAGCCAAATGAGAATAAATGAATTTGAAGAAACTTGCTGACAGGAAAGAATAAGAGCTGAAGCCGCAATTACACTCGACAGCAAATGAAGTGAAACAAGATATTAAAATAGCC